CGAGTAGTCTCCGTGTACGTTCGACTACATTGTTCGACACACTGCGACGTCGTTCTCGATACGAAATGCAACGAAATACAGCGGTAAGACGGACCGAAGAAGAATACACGCACGAGCGAGCTATACCGACAGAATTATCGAACACCAGCGAACTTTGACGATCACAGCGATAATCTTTCTCCCTTTCTTCCTTTCTTCCTGGCAGATGCAGCCCCCCGTCGTCGTCGTAATTTTTGCCGTTTGCTTCGGCTTTTACATCGTACCGCGCGTGACAGCCAAACAGGACACTTTACCATCGATAGAGGCAAGTTCTTCGATCGTCGATCAGCAGTCTGCCGTTCAAACGACGAACAACGACGAAGCACGACGTTCGGACGTTGCTGGGACGTTAAACAGGCAAAAGAGGACACTTTTATTGAAGAAGAAACTTATCGGAGCAGGTCTTTTGGGTTTCGGGCTGGGTGCCATAAAAGGGTGAGAAAGCAATTTTTTCTTTCCTATCCCTCGATATCGCGAACATTTGTACGGTTGAAAATGGAAATGGATGCTTCGCGAAACGGCAACTCGTCGTTCGCGTCGATTTCTATCCTACGCGTTTCTAAGATTGCACGGATGCGTTGCAATACTAATCATCTACAAAATCTACAATCAATATACCTGCGTTTTTATATATCCTTTTCGCTCCGTTCTCGTTCTCAGATACAAAGTTGGTTACAAGACTGCTCCACAAATTCATCGGGTGTATCTGTCAGCTCCTCCAGCATCCGTGAAATACGTCGAATACATCGACGAGCCAATCTTCGTTGAAAAGATAATCGAAAGGCCAACTCCGGTTTTTAAACCGACGCACGTCGAATACAAAGATTCTTCTCCTTACGGGTAAGCGAATGTATTATGTTATGTATGTACGTACGTAGGTACGCGTGTCTATATATATATATATATATATATATATATATATATATATAGCGGCTACTATACAAATATCGCGTCGTAGCAGATATTTGCGCATCTTATACTTCATTAGATACGTACGTACGTCTAATTCGTCGCGTCGCTTCGTCAAATTTCATCTCTTGCTTCACGCTTCTTGTACTTTTTTCAAATGCAGGCCTTGGTAACTCGTCAAAAATCACGTGAAATAAAGGCTAAAAAATTGTTCATACGACTACGACATACTCGTCGGAGCAGCAGGAAGAAAAATTTGCAAACTGGAAGAAATTACGATCGCGTTTCGCTATCGTCGAAACGTCACGCGCGCACTGTGACGCCCGTCGCGTTGCGTATACGATACGTACGCATCTGCGCAACACGCGTACGTTCGGATTAACGTTGTACGATAGAACAAAACGATATTTAATCCATTTAACTTTACAGTTTCGATCAATGATTCAAACAGATGTCACGACTTTTTCATCGTCGAAAATAAATCATCGCATTTGAGAAAAAATGCAAAGTAACGCGAATTATTCTTCTCCTTATTCTCATTCTTATTCCTCGTTCTTTTATTCTTCTTTATATCGTTTCGGAAAATATAATAAATCGTGGACACGTAGTTTATTCGTTAAACGATGGATTTAAAAGACTCGATATTAAATGTTTCTACGTCTTATTATCGATCACAATTCTTTCTTGTACAGTGTGTGTGTGTGTGTGTGTGTGTGTCTACATGCATACATACATACATACATACATATACATACAAGCGCTGCAATGCGAAAGACTCGCTGCTGAAATTTGTTACTTCTCATCTCCTGGCAATTTTTCGCTCGCAATCACTCGTAACGTCGTGAAATGTTTGTACATACGTCGCACAAATTATCGCACAATCGCGTATAACACGTTCGTGCGTGTTATTCTTTTATCCTTACGTTTTACGTTTATGCTAATTTTACGCGTACAACTGTGCGTTGTTGTACACGGACGCAATTTAATCGGCGCGTTAAACGATTTCGCATCGTTCGATTTGTCAACGATGTGTTCGATCTCCAAGTACACGTTACGTTTGAAAAATTCGCCAAAGTAACAGTTTTACAATAGACAACCATCGTACCACGAAAATCTGAGGAAGGAAAAACGTGTCTACGTGTTTAGAACATACCGTAAATTGTTGAGTTATTGTCGACGACGAGGAGGGGACGAGAGGGGATGCGTCGTGCACGTTCGCGAGCAGAAAGTAAAGCTTTTTCTCTCGTTCCGTGGTAGCGAGTACGGTACGGTAAGTAAACGATGGTTGCTCGTCAAATTGCACGCAATCGCGTTCCGACACGACAAAGTTCGCGTTGTATCGCGTTTTCACGATACTACCTACCAAAGTAGGTGTTTCGGCAAAACGTTTTAGGAACAACCTTACGCGTGACGCGACACGCGTCATTGGAAGAATCGCGCGTTCGTACGCACAAACGCGCAATCGCGATTGATTTTAATCGATTACAATTAATTACATCGGGACGTCTATCGAGACGAGAAGAAACAAATGGCTGGAATTTGAATTACACTGGCAGTACGATACGTTAGTTATCGATTACCGGTGTAATCATCAAGTATATTTAATATTTCTGACATTGAAATCAGCATACGGAAGCGAACAATCGGATACTACTCTCGATACTCTCTCGGCACTCTCGGACGAACGATCGTGACAATTGATCGTCAAAGAACCATATTTTCGAGCGCGCTGTTTTGTACTTTGTTCGCCAATGAGAAAGCAGCCGAAGCAGCGTTACTCGTTACGCGCCGTTGTTCGTTTGTTTTTCAACGGAACCTTCGAGAACCCAGAAGTCGCAGAATCAAGATCAGAATGGATCAGAGTCAGAAACGGAATCAGACAAATTTAAAATTAGACAGAGTTAGCGTCGGAGTCACGATCGGAATCGGAATTAGAATCGGAACACTGTCGTGACAGCTACGTCGCGCGTTACGGCACAGTTGCACCGTGAACCGTCGTTTCAAACGAAACGTCTTTCAAAGACAATCTTCACGTTTCCGTAATCTCGGTTAATCTAGCGACGTAAGCGTAACAGGTACACGGATATACAAGTATCTGTTTCCGGACA